GCTACAAAACGAGTAAGCGTGTGTATGAATGAGCCTAGCTCATGAAGGAGTGTTCAGTAACTCACTGGCAGGCTCCTCGGGGATACAAACACTCACGCATAACAGAATCTCACCCTAATCCCTCCTTCCCTTTTCTTTTCCCTGTCTCTCTTTGCATCTCTGCCTCTGTCTCTCTCTTTCTCAGAGAAAAAATTTAAGTTACACAGTCTTCTTGAACTATGAGAGATGCAAAAGACCTGAGAAGCTAATATGCATATTAGTGTCATAGTCACTCCAACTCAGTGCTATACCCGGTAGAATCGGGGGAAACACCTTAAGAAACAAAGGTCTTAGCCAGAGTCCTTCCTTTCCCCCAACAAGGCAGAGAGCTGAGAGTGTTGGAATAATGACTTGAGTGTTTTAGGGTTCTGAGGCCCAAGAGGCATTTCTGAGCGGGTTAGCAGTGCAGGTTTTAGACTCTGAACATTGTTGAAAGCTGTCCCACATGTGAGACAGAGAAGAGATATGCTTCCTCGAAGTCCATGTGAGGAGCTGGGCATAGAGAGGCACCAGGGGTGGTGGCACATGCCTTTAATTCCAGCACTTGGGAGGCAGAGGCAGAGGCAGGTGATTCTGTGAGTTCAAGGCCAGCCTGGTCTACAGAGTGAGTTCCAGGATAGCCAGGGCTCCACAGAGAAATCTTATTTTGGGGAAGAAAAGAAAAAATATGTATGAAAGGATGGGAGAAGTATCTGTGGATGTCGGCCCTGTGCCTCAGGAAAGGGCTTTGCTGCCAAAACCATTAACAGCTCCTCGAGGCTCGTTGTATGAACACAAGTCTCAGATTGAAGAGCCCACAAGGACAGGAATCAGACCACACTTGAAGCCTGGGCTCAGCTGGAGGGACAAGGGCCCTGTCTGACTGGTTACAATCTACTTGAGAAGGTACAGTGTAGAAAATGAGGCAAGAGAAGAGGTGGCCTCAAAGGAGCAGGGCCTTTGGAGGGGCTATGTCAGATTTGCCTGGGATTCTTAGTGTGGGGACCTGACCACAGCTTTGCAAAGATTTGCTGAACCAACTAATTGGGGCAAAGAACTGATTAAAGAGTTTTCCATGATGGAGTGAGTCTCTGCTGGGTCTGCAGGCTCAGGCCTCTATCCCCACCACTTTGGAAGCTGAGGCATGAAGGAAGATCATGAGTTCTAGCCCAGCCTATAGGAGTTTCCCATTGGTGGAAGTATTTAAGTACAGCAGAAACCACCTCTTGCTAGTGCTTTTCTGGAAGAGATTTATAAGTCAAAGTATGGCTTGGTTTTTGTTCCATGAGATCCTTCATTCGACTTTTTATTAGTGTCTTCCAAAGGAAAAGGAGGCAAGAGGAATGATAATTGGGAAAGAGGAAAAGCAAAGGGTGAGTGGATGATGCCAGGGCTCTTTGCACCCTGAAGTTGCTTCCCCATCCCATCCCAGGTGATAGGACTACTATCTTGGGCATCCATTCATTACAGTGTTCCTGGAGTACTGCCTGCACTGGATGTTCATCTTTTAACATTTTGTCCCTAACACACATTGATTTGCAAGCATGACCTGTCAATAAGCATTTGTTGGATAGATGGGTGGGTGGGTGCATAGAAGGGTGGATGAGTGGGTGGATAGATGAGTAGATGGGTGGGTGGGTAGGTCGATGGATAAATGGGTGGATGAATGGGTGGGTGGGTAGGTGTATGGAAAGATAGGTGGATGGGTACTGAACTCTTGAGGGTTTTTTGGAATTGTGTTTTTATAGGCTGGCACATATTTCATGAAATATTTTTAGGTAGAATTTGTGCCTATTATTTCATTGGAAGGAAGCCAGTCAGGGAGGTGGAGCCATGCTGGAGAAGTGAAAAAGCACCCTGTGGGTTTTGCTAATGTCTGGGATACTGTGCCTGGAGCTGAAACATCAGGTCACATTTACTTCTTTCTGTAAACAGCTTGTGGGTAGCATACAAAATGAACTCTCCAGACAAACACCAAAGCGTCTCTCCATTTCTGTGTTGCTTCTTTCTTTCCATGCTTTAGGGGGGGGCAATGAAATCCTATGAGCCTCTGTCCCCGGGATTCTGGTCTTCATGTACTTTCTTTTATTCAGTTTGATCTCCACAGTTTAGACAAATTGCATAGTGCTCTCACACTTGCGTAAATGTTTTAGTGAAAGGCTTGTAAGTACAAGAAGGGGTTTTACTGATGCCAGACCCCCATTTTCTTCAAGCTCCTGCAGCCACAACAGTGCCTATACATCTTAGAATTAAATGTTTATTGCTTTGCCTTGATGACAGACGTCATGTCATGAGCATGTTACTCACTCTACTTGCCAATCCACCAACACTCCTGGCATCAAGTGTGATTCTGGTCTCACAAAGAAACACAAAGGAAAAGCTAGTCATCAGTGCCAACTGAATGAACAGGGATTAAAAACCAGTGCCAAAACAGGACATGGTGCTGCATAAATATCATCCCATCACTTCAGAGGTGGAGACAGAAGGCTCAGAAGTTCAAGGTAATTCTTAGCTATATAGGGAGTTCAAGCCCAGCCTGGTATACATGAAACTTTGCCTCAATAACAAAGCAACAACAACAAAAAACAAAACAAAACCAGTGTTGCCTGACTCCAGAGCCAGGGCACCTTAGTCGGTGGACTTTGGGCAGACTCATCACACCCTAAGTACATCCTGCCTCAGCCCAACCCTTTTTTCTGGTCATTCTTGCTTCCAGACCTCCGACAACTTGCTCCTAGTGCCTCTAAGAAGGAAAGAGCAAGCAGCAGCTAGATGGCTGGTGAATGACAGTGTAGATAAAGGATAGAGAATGATGTCCAACAGAATCTCATTCCTGCCCTAACTCACAGCCTCAGCCTTCCTCTTTCTGTTTGTCAGCACATCCTGAAAACTCACCCCAACATTTTCCTTCCTCATCTGTCCTACCCCAGCCAGGATGACAAGCAGCCTGAAGTCTTGAATTTGGAGCATATTCTGGGTTCCAGCCTTTGCCCAGACCTCATTAATTCAGGAAGATGATACCCCAGGCAGTGGAAAGACACCGAGTGTGCAAAACTCCTTAATTGTGGGTTTCCTTCCGATGTCTGCTCCCTTAATATGTTTGGAAACTATTTTATGGAAATTCTATTCCTTGAGGGGAATGTTCCTAGAGCTGGGAGAAAATAGGTAGGTCAGATCGAGGGAAGCCAGCTACATCCTGCTCAGGAGGCAGTCCTGGTTCCTGATGAGTTTTTCTGTTCTGAACCAATTCCTAGGTTATCCCAGGTGTGAATGTGAGCTCCTAGGGCTGTCCACAAATGCATAATAGTGAGGCAGAAATCTTGACACTGAGGGTAACCCTGGAGCAGGAAGTGTGCACCAGTCCTGAAGGTGTCTGTGCTGGGATAGGCAGTTAATAAGAGAGTGGTATGGAGGCAAGGGGGATACTGATTGAGCAGCAAGCACAACTGGGAAAGAACCCCCACAGGAGGCTCTAACCACACAGGAGTCTAGAGGAGGGATGTCAAAGGCCCTGCAGCTCCTCAACATTCCCCCCTGGGTGACTCACGGATGCTGTTCTCACTGCTCTTCCTGAGGTGCCCTTACATCTTGGAGCTGAGCTGTCCACTTTCTGTTTCTGATCTGTTACCTCTGTGTAACCTTGAGTGTCTTAACCATTCTGTATCTCAATTTCTCATACCTATGAAACAGGAGTGACAAGAATACCTACATTATGGGCTTGGAAGTTTGCTTTCCATCAAATGCTGAAAACTGTGTTTGTAACCTGGTAAGGATTGCCCAAGGATTGGCTACCGCCCTCATTACCATTTTTCAGCCCATTTTGCTATAGGGAAAGAATTTTGCACTGTATCCTCACCCTCCACTCCCTGGAACTTACATTCCCTAAGAACAGGACAAACACAAGAAAAACTGGGAGGAAGGAACTCAAAGTCACAGATAGAAGGCGATGGAAGGCCTGGCTGTGGTTGGCTAGTGAAGCAGAGAAAAGTCCACTTACATTCTTCCAGAAGACATAGAAGCAGACAAACCATAGCACTATAGAAGGTAGGACACCCAAGCGCTCCTGTGGGAGAGTAGACCAAGAAGAAGTAAGAATAAGGTTGGGGGAGTGATGTTTGCAGGCTGAGGTTCCTGCTGGATGCTGAGTGCAGTAGGTGGTTTCCAAAGTCAAGGCTCACTCTAGAGAGTCTGGCTTGCCCTATACTTGACCCCGTGCTGGAGTGAACCTGAAGAAAAGGAATGCTCTCACTTTCCCTAACTGTTGGGTTTGAAAGCCATCATTTGTCAGTCCTAACCTGGTGGAACTATATTGCACATGGGCGTGTGTGTGTGTGTGTGTGTGTGTGTGTGTGTGTGTGTGTGTGTGTGTGTGTGTGTGTGTGTGGTTGGGGGGGATGGGATGGGATGAGACTTGGACTCATCTTGTGATCAGCAAGTGCCTGGTGTATCTCCAGGAAGCAGCTGCCATGGGAAAATTTTCTGATGACAGTTAGGTGCTTATAAATGAGGGCCTTGGCCAAAACAAAGGGGCACATAGAGAATGCATATGCTTTTAGTCAGTATATGAGCTCTTCCTTAAACACCTCCTTGAGTGAGAGCTGTTCATTTTTTTAAGTAGGAAATATTTTTTACTTTTTAAATTTAAATTAAAAATTTTATTTTACATACCAATCCCAGTTCCCTCTCCCTCCCGTCCTCCCACTCCCCACACCATCTCTCCATTCCACCTCATCCACTCCTCAGAGAGGATGAGGTCTCCCATGGGGGAATCATCAAAATTTGTCACATCATTGGGGCAGGACAGAGCCCGACCCCCACCCCCACCCCGTATCTGGGCTGAGAGAGTATCCCTCCACAGGGAATGGGCTCCAAAAAGCCAGTTCGTGCACTAGGGATAAATACTGGTTCCACTGCCAGTGGCCCCATAGACTTCCCAAGGTCCCCAGCTGACACCCATGTTCAGGGGACCTAGTTTGGTCTTATGCAGGGTTCCCCAGCTCTCAGTCTGGAGTCAGTGAGCTCCCACTAACTCAGGTCAGCTGTTTCTGTGCGTTTCCCCAGCATGATCTTGACCCCTTTGAGAGCTGTTCATTTTTAAACTAATTTTTCAATAGAAACACAATCTACCATGGGTTACTTGCTGGGTGGGTGGATAGAAAACTCATCTCCAGGAAGCTCAAAGCTGCTGCAATTTGCCTGCCTTTTGGAAGAACAATTATGGAAATCAGTAGCTCAATTAAAAGCCTCCTAAATGAGCCGGGCGTTGGTGGCACACGCCTTTGATCCCAGCACTAGGGAGGCAGAGGCAGGCGGATCTCTGTGAGTTTGAGGCCAGCCTGGTCTCCAGAGCGAGTGCCAGGCTCCAAAGCTACACAGAGAAACCCTGTCTTGAAAAGTAAAAACAAAAACAAAAAGCCTCCTAAATGGATGGCTAGAAAGTTGCTTTCCTGGGAAGCCTTGGAGAAGTCCAGTAGGTGATCAGGATCTGGTTGTCCAAAACCTCTGCAGTCCTGCTGCGCTGGCCTGCCCCGAGCCTGCAAAGCAAAGTGAAGCTGAGTAATAACCTAGACCTAAAAATATATCAACTAAATAAGTGTATTGTGAGGAAATTCCAAGCTTTATTAAATGCACTTTTGGTGAAAGGGGCCCTACAGAGAATTTCTTAATAAATTTCAAAGAGAGATGTTGGTCACTGGAGGAGCCTACATAAGCAACCGTGGCATCTGTGGAATGTCAAGCTGCAGATGGCCTGAGGCAATGATCTGGCTAGCACCACAGTTGGTCTTCTTAGGGTGGATCAAGGTCTCTGACAATAGGGTTGGCTCAAACAGGCCTAAGCAGAAGGTTCCCTGAGTATCTAGGGTGCTCCAGCTTAGAAAGAACATGAGAGCAAAGCCATTCCAAGGGCCTGAAGGCTGCAGCCAGAAGAGACACTGCCCTTATTTCAAACACCTTGGTAACTCATTCCAAAGCCCAACAACACCCACATTCAGGAAATTCTTCTTAATGTTTAGCCTAAATCCTTCATGCTTCAGTGTAAACTCATTACCTCTCAATGTGTTTAAAGCAGAAATGGGGAACAGCTGGTCTCTCCCACTGGCTCAAACACTCAAGCTCTTTCATTTCATCCATCCCCTAAATCTTTTGCTCTCCAGAACAACACTCCAAATCTGAGAACATTCTCCATGGCTTACCCAGACCACAGAGGCTGAACATGTCCCAAGGACTTCCTATAACTCAAGACATTGACCCAAGGTGTCAGTCTTCTGTCTTGAGTACCACCCATTTGTTGGGGGAGATGGAGGCCTGGAAGTAACATAAACATCCTTTCAGATGTCCACCACCAGTAGCTTCCCAGCATCACCCATCATCCTTTTTGCTATGCATGTGCACAGTATCCTTTATTAGTAATTCTAGAGCAGAACCTGTGTTACACACTTTATATCCAGAGTATCTCATTTAGGCTGGGTTCAAGACAGGGTTTCTCTGTGTAGTCCTGGCTGCCCTGGAACTCACTCTGTAGACAAGACTGACCTCAAACTCAGAGATTCCCTGCCTCTTTCTCTCAAGTGCAGGGATTAAATGTGTGCTGTGAGCCACCTTGCCTGATAGTTTTATCTTTATCTTTTAATTCACTGGTAAAGACTTGGCTTAGAGAGCTCATATCTAACAAGTGACTGAGATTTGAACCCAGAGCTGTCTGACACAGACAACTGTGACACAGAGCTTCTACTCTGATATCAGGCTAAGATCTGCTTCTTGCACTACCAAATCTGGAATTCCTGAGACAGCCAGAAGACACAGTGTCCTTGTTCTACAGTTCTACTGAGAGAGAGACTTCTAAGTTGTGTGTATCTGTGTCCATGTGTGTGTGTGTTCTTATGGAGTCAGAGAGGTCAGGTGTCGGTCTTGCCTTCAACCTTGCTATTTCTGCTGTTCTCACCCTCTTATGACAGAGTAGCTGGCTCTCAAGCTTCCAGGGATTCTCCTGTCTCCATTCCCACCTTGCTGTAGGAACACTTAGGTTACAAACATTACTGCTCCCAGCTTTCAGTGAGTTCTGGGGACTCAAACTACCCACTGAGCTTTCTTTCCAGCTCTGATCACCACCCCCCCAAGCAGGCTAAGATCCCATAACTTAAAATTTTTCATTTTTCAGAGATGTCATTAAAAAGAAATTCAAGCTGGGTATGGTGAGGTGATCTTGTAATCCTAGCACTCTAAGGCGGGGTAGGATGATTCTGACTTCAAGGCCAGTCTGGGCTACACAGAGAAACTGAGGGAGAAAGGAACAAAATAAGTAGGAAGAGTGAGAGTGAGCTGCCCAAGACCACAGCTTCATGTTCCCTGAGGACATTTGGGCAGAGAAGGGTAGAAGGAAGTGTACCCCCAGGGGCAGACAAACAGGGCCAAGAAGGGAGAAGGTGATGATCCAGGGACCTTGCTGGACTCTGTAGTCCCATTTGGCAGACTCCCAATTCTGGGGTCCTCCTTTCCTGAAGGGGCTGTTTCCTTGCTCCAATCAAGCTGGTGCTTACACCTTCTCCCTGCTTGGGTCTTCTTTCTTTTCTGACAGTCAAGTCTTCCTCATCTCACAGAATGACCTTGGAAAACCCCTAGCCAACTACCCAAAGACCTGTCACAAGGCTGCATTTCAAAACAAACAAACCAACAGAAAACAACCAAGATTTTAAAAAAAATCTTAATCAGAACCTGTGTTGGAACTTAACCTCCACGGTGAGCTGTTAAGGAATGGGAGCAGGCGTGGTCTTCAGGAAGAGTGGGTCAGACGGCTTCTGCTCTCACAATAGGTTAATCCATTATAGGTTAATGAGTTATCTGTGTTCAGTTGGAACCTCCAGTTCGCTCCTGCACAATCCAGAAAGAATTATGCAGAATTATACCATAAAGAATCCCACTAGCTGTTTCTACTCTCTCCAAACCCCGCCCACTCAGAGAGTCTCCAAAGAAAAGGCACCAAAAAACCCAGTTCTGCATTCTTGGTGACTATGGCAACTTCCTCCCCTGTTCCCACAAGCTGACCAAGTCCCCAGCTAAAGCACTCAGCCTTTCACCAAACTTAGGCAACACCCCTTCGCTGAATCAATAAGTCTCCCTGCTTTAGTTTGGGGGTATGGCTCCAGCCTCATTCTCTTGCACTGGAGAGCTCACATGGGAGTTGCTTTGCTCAAATAAACTTGTTGTTATACCTTTTCAATTTGGCTTGATCTGGCTTACTGTGTCATTATCTCTGTGTGTATGTGTGTGTGGGGGGGACCTATTAATCTGTAGTGGGTGTGTTAAAAAGGCCAGAGGGGCTTTTCCTTGTACAAACTGCTCTCCCAACTGACTTTACACTTCCTTGGAATTCTACAGAATCCCAGGCAGCAAGAAGATTATCATCTGATGTGCCCCCTTGACCTTGGACCTCCGAGCACACAGAACTGTGAGAATTGTGGTGGTTAGTTTTAAATGCCAACTTTCTATAGCCTAGGGTCTCCTGGGAAGAGAGCCTGAAAGGGGATTGCCTAGAGCAGGTTGGCTCTGGACATGCCCATGGAGATTATCATGATTATTTTAGTTGAGGTAGAAACTCAACCCATTGTAGGTGGCATCATTACATAGGCTTGGGCTTGAACTTTGTAAGAATGAGGAAAGCTAGCTGAATTGAGAACAGCAAGCAGGAGGCACACAAGGCATTTGTTCCTCTCTGCTCCTGACTGAGATGTGGTATGAGCCGCTGTTTGAGATCCTGCTTTGATTTCCCTTCAAGGATTGTAAGCCAAATAAACCCTTCCCTCCCCAAAGTTGCTTTTTGTCAGAATATTTTTCACAGCAACAAAAATGAAACTGAGATAAGAATAGATCTTTATTCTTTATATTCTCTCAGATACTCTATTGTAGCAACAGAAAAGGGCCCAAGAGATGCTCCATGATGTTTATATGGATTTTCTGTTAGTTCTTGACCTCTTCCAAGGTAGAAACTTAAGCTTTGTTTCATATTTTCTACACCCAGTGTAGTGCCATGTATTAAATAGATAATGGAGATATTTTGAATGTCTCACCAACTGAATATAGGGATAGTTATATGGGTTGCCCAGGGGTTCGTGAATGTCTGTGGGCGTGTATACGTGTACACACACACACACACACACACACACACACACACACACACACACACACACTCCAGCTCCCAAATTAAAAAGTTTTCAGAGATACAAACAGGTCTCTCTGTATAAAGGCTATGTTAGCCATCCCTACTTCCAGCACACAGCTAGTCCCAAAGCATTCAACAGTCAGACCATAAAGAATCCCACTAGCTTAACATGTGACCTTGGACAAGTCACTTATGTTCTCTGAGAGATGAAGACTGTTGGTCTGGCTAATATCTGAGGCCTTTCCAGCCCTAGGTTTCCATAATTCTGTGGCTATCTATTGACTTATCTAAATAATCACAAAGACTACTTCATGCTACAGAAACACAGTCATAATAAACTAAAGCAAAACCAAATGCCCTTCAGTATCCTGTTGTGAACTATAAAATGTCCCTAAAATCACATTTTCCCCTTGAAACAGGATGTAGGAAAATATTTTCCTATTAAATCCTTTTAAAGCGCAAGGGAAAGCATTTATTCTGTGATTCGCCATCCAACTCAATAAAAAACAAGAGGATTCGGTTGTCTTAATTACAGAAGACACTGTCAAATGGCAGAGGGTGGAAGCTCAAGTTGGAAATCCCATTGCCACACCAGCAGCACAGTGCTCAAGTTTTCTGGGGGGACTCTTCAAGGGTGTATTGAGCAGTTTATTCTGCTATTATGTCAGGGGAACCAGTAAATACGTTTTTATGAGGTGATTTATGAAACTCCTGGGGTGGAGAAAGTGAGAGCTAGGGAGAGGTCACACCAACTTTCAAGCCTGTGGGGGCAAGGAGAGGGGGACTTGAGTTTCAGTGACCTGATTACATTGTTGTTGGGAGTTATGTCCTCTGACAAGGAGCAAGCAAAGCAGGATTTGGATCTGAAGAGAGGGAGAAAGGGCAAGAAACTTTAGGAGAATGTTACCTTGTGCTTTAAGCATCTAAAAGTTTCTAGATTAAGCCTTTTGAAGACAGGTGTACTTGTTTCCTCATTTTTGTAGAAACTAGATCGTTATACACATGGGAGATGGGAGGGGCAGATAGGCATGCTTTCAAATTGTATCATAAAGGTAGTGTCCTGCACATGGCACAGAGGAAACAACACAGGCATGTTTCAATGGCTCAGCATGAATACACTTCCCAAGACAGTTTGTCCTGTGTTAACCCCCTCCCTCTCAGCCCAGATACCCTTAGAGGAGCACAAGGCCAATACCAGCAGAGACTAACAGACTCAGCATTTCCAGCATTGCCTGAGCCCAGACACTCACTGAGATATAGGGGCAAGGGATGATAATGAGACACGGACATTGAGAATGTCAGGATGGCTGACCATCCCACAGAAGGGTGAGACTGAGCTCTAGGGAGACTAATGCTTTTGTCTTTCCCTAATTCTCCCAAATAACCTTCTAGCAGGAGATGAGAAGAGAAACATTTTTAAGGTGGTAATCTGCCACCTGATCTGAATAAAGGACATTTTTGAAGATTCAATTCCATCTCTGCTTACTGACATCTGTAAGTGGCAGGCAGCAACAAGTTCTGGTATTTCAGTAATGGGACAGAGAGCAGACCCACAAATTCTGTTCAAGAAAGAAAAAAAGAACAGATGGATTTATGCTCACCCAGGAAGACACAAGTGGGTTCTACCAGCTGACAATCACCATCCCCATTTCTGTTGCAACAGAAAAGGGCACTTCCAAAGATGTTCTGAGCCCCAATTTCCAACTATCTGGACATGTGTGTTGCATAACATTGAGGTTACATATGGAATTAAGGCCACTGGTCAATAAGTGTCTTGGTCAGCTTTCTGTTACTATAACAAACATCTCACCCACTCATCTTAGGAGGGGGGAAAGGGTTCATTTGGCCTCACAGTTTTGGAATCCTAGTCCACAATGAACTGGCTAGTCATTTTGTGTGATTTGTGAAAATGTCTCAGTAAAACTGCTCACCTCAACATGGAACAAAGAGAGAAAGACTTAGAGACTGGAGTTCTCTTTTAAGGCACAACCCCAATAACCTGTACACTTCCAACCAAAGCCCCTTTTTTAATTACTTCCCAGCAGTGTCAAACTGGAGGCTAAGCTTTTACTTTATGGGACTTTAGAAGAACTCTGCAGAATGCACTCACTCTTTTCAAGGCCAAAGCAAGAAGTTCCACGCTGAGTTGCTTAGAAGTGGTGATCCAATCACATTCCACAGATTTGAAAATGAGAACCCATGGGTGCTGCCCCACAACCAGATGGCAACTTCCAGAAAGGGTGAAGAACATTGAGGGTTGGTCCCTGTTCAGAGAAGTCATGGTGGTAGGCATTGTTCCTGCAGTTTCAGGGGGAGCTTGGGGAAATATTTGCCCAGTCAAATAGCTAGTGATTTAGTTGGGATTCAAACTCAACAAGTCGTTCTGTCTCTGGTGCCTTGTGTTGGTTTCTCCTTCCAATAAGTCATCCTCTGGCAGTTGTTTCTTGGACTTCTAAGGTTGTTTCAATGCCTCAGAAAAGTTGGTTAGCTATTAAAACCCTTGAGCCTTCATATGTCCAGAGAGAAGAAAAGCAAGCATGTGATCCCATGGCTGCTGGCCAGCCAAGCCTCAGTGTCTGGGGACCATGGCCTCAACAGAGGATGCTAGCTACAACAGTGCTTCTTTTGGGCTCTTCTGAAGACTTTTGTTCACCAGGGCCCACACATGCAGGCTGATGGTTCAAAGATAGTCCAATGAGAAAGCTTGTCACATTATATTTTCTCTTTGTAACTCTATCTCAAAACCTACCCATATGGCCCTGGGATGACAAATTGAGTATGTTCAAGAGCCTGGGTGTAGCAAGTTTTCTCCTTGGACTCTCCAGCCCACAAATAATGACCCACAGACTTACTATTAGTTATGAAGGCTCAGCCTTAGTATAGGCTTGTTCCTAACTAGTTCTATACCTATTCATCTAAGTTATTTTTCATGGCTGGGTTACCTTTACTCACTCTGTACTTCCTTCCCATCCTGCTTCCTTTGTGTCTGGCTTTTGACCCACCTTTCTTCCTCCCAGCATCCTCTCTCTGCCCAGAAGTCCCACCTATCTCTCATGACTTCCTATTGGCGTTTCAGTTTTTTATTACACCAATCATAGCAACACATCTTCACATTGTACACATATCCATAACACCTGGGTTCTATTTTATCCTTGTGAGGAGACCCTTGCTGTAGAGTCTGCTTGATCAATGCTACTACTCTGGGACTGGCTCACATCCTCACCTCCAATTCTGGGGGAAGCGTGTCATTCACTAACCTCTGGAGTGGTTGTAAATATGTGGCAAGCATCTCTTCTATCAAAGTGGAACATCTTTCCAGATTGACAAGCCCTACCTCAGATACTACAGGCTGCTGTAGAACTTGTAAACAAATCTTCTTACATTCAAGAAATTCATTAAAGGAGAAGCTGGCAATAAGAGCTGAGACACATATTTGAGAAATGCATAGGCCATGTGCTGTTGATCACTGGATGCCCTATTCACTGCATATTCAATGAAAAGTACCCTTGTTGGCATCCCTTCTTACTAGATTAGGCTCATTCTCTTTCTATTCTTCCTTTGAGGATGGATGGGGGTCCTAGTCAGCTGCAATTCTCTGAGAATGGAGGATTGTAGGGAGATTAAACAGATGGGAAGAAGAGAACACAAAGGCAGGTAGTTGCAGGATTTAAAGTCAAGAAAGAAACAGACTGAAGGCAGCTGGAGATGACTTGTCTGCAGGGAATGAGTGCCCAAACAGAGACAGAGGACCAAAAGAACCTCAAACGAAATGAGGCAGGCACAGAAGAGACCAGAAAATGAAGGGAGGGTGGGAAGAAAAGGGAATTATGGCATGCATTTGTTTCCTGGGGTTTCAGTAACAGATGACAACAAATTTCGTGATTTAAAACAACAGGCATTTATTTCCCACAGTCCTGGAGGGAGATCAAAGTGTTCGCAAACCCACACATCCTTCTGAGGCTCTCAAGGAAGAATGGTCCCTTGCTTCTTCTACTCCTGGTTACTGTCAACATTTCTAGGCATGGGGCTACATCTGTCTGTTATCTGCCTATGTCTTCACATTCCTTTGTTGGCATCTTTTATATAGACACTGTTACTGACTTCAGGCCCTATGGTATCATTCAAGAGTATTCTGCTCAAGACCTGTAACTGTAACTTAGCTATATTTACAGATCCTGTTTGCAAGTTTTGGGTTCTAATGCCCACTAGATATCCTGTTTACTGAATACAGGGCCCAAGAAAAAACTAGATATGGACATAGTTCTTGAGCACCCATCATTTAACTCATTTGGGGGGGGAGAGGGTGAGAACCCCAAAATAGAATGAAACAAGTCAGAAGGTCAGGACAAGTGGCCTTTTCTGTGAAATGTGTCAAGGGTTTTATGTATTCACCACCACTTAAGGCTGTACAATCTGTCTGGAGTTCACTTGGGTCCCATCTCCACTACAGCATTCTCTGCTTTTACAGAGCCATACAGAAAACTTGGAGGCTCATCCCCACCTCTATAACCACACCCAGCTGCACCAAGCACATGGCTCACACAAGGCACCACCCACATACTAAAATATTTTATGGAGCTCAGTGTCCCTCCTACATAAAACCTCTTCCCACTTATCTACTTTCTAATTTCCTGGACCCCTCCAAGATCTGGCTTTCTCTTCTTTCTCCTAATTTAACTCCTGCACTTTGTTATGCAAGGCAATTTAATTCTCTTTCCATTTACTCTGCCCCAGGCTTACCTTTGCATAGCCAAAGACTCATTAATGTCTCCATAAAACAAAGCACCATTTATGTAAGATGCAAGGCAGAATCACTGGCACAGATTTTGTTCTCTCTCTCTCTCTCTCTCTCTCTCTCTCTCTCTCTCTCTCTCTCCCTATGTCTCTCC